AGAAACACTGTCATGGCCTCCATCTTTCATCCTTAATCTCATTAATCCTGTATAAAACACAGCTAAACTGTAATTGTAGATGTGGAGGGCCTTGAAAATGACACGTATTAAAAGGACTCACTCTTCAAAAGAGTCAAGTCTCTTTCGCTGAGCCCTGCGAAAGCTTCATCGGTAGGAGCGAAAAGTGTGAAATCTCCTTCCTGTTTGAGCAAGTCCGTCAGTCCGGCTGCTTCCATCAGTGACAAAAAGATCCTGAAAACAATATGAAGTCATTCTGTAATTGCAGGTACATTTGGTGTCATTACTTTTACCAGAATTTTATTTTTGTAATTATTTTAATAATGGGTTATTCATTGTCATGGAACACAATATCTTGTAATTTAAACTGCTATTATTCTAGCCTAAATAAAGCAAAAAAAAAAGACCAGAGGAACATATAGTGTGAGAAATTCCCTGCTCTGTTTCTTACTTGAAGGCACCATTTTTCACCAGGATTTGGAACATGCTGGACTCTGCTGGCGAGATCAGGGTCTTCATGAGATGCAGGGCACCATTGCTTCCCTCTTTGCTGCCACGGATCAAGCACGCATTCTCAATGCAGAGAGCCTGCACAGATCAAATATTACGAGACAGTTTACTTCCTCAGAATGTAGTAATGGAAACTACTGTACAATGTCAATAAATGTCAGTATTAGTAATGGCCAGTGAATGACAACTTAGTACAGTAGTACAGTAGACATTTCAGAGTACTGACAATTTTATGACACTGTTTTTCCCAGCAGTAAAAAATATTTTTTAAATATTGTAAACATACTGCATGTAGTAAAATGTGCAATCCTTGATATATTTTGACTTTGTTGTATTAGAATTGGCATTATTTTACTTCATTCTTAATATTTTAGACATATTTTGGTCATCATTTGCATTATATATATATATTTTACACACATTCTATATAAATAAATTATTTTTAATTTTTTACAAATTTGTATTTTTACAAATACAATTTGAACAAGTCATAAGTAAGAAAAAGAACCATTTGTGACCAAAATATAGTTAAAAGTATCGTTAATGATAATATTAAATATATATAAAATATTTGGTCTTTTATGTATAGTTTAAAAAATGAATTATAAGATTCTCAAACCTCTAAAAGCTAAATTATGTTAGAATACCGGAAAAGCCAGCCTTATTTCACCAGGAAACGTAGCATTTTACGTTTTATCAGTTTAGTGGCTAATTTGTACAAATTCGTACATACGAAGTTCAGTCATACGAAAATGTAGGATTTTAAAAAATGGAGGCGTGGCAACCAAACCCAACCCTAAACCAAACCATCATTGGGGATAAGCAAACTGTACTAAATTGTATGAATGAGATCGTACAAAAATTCAAATGATACAGCCACTAAATCAAAAAGTTAGAAATTGACATGAGATAGTGTTTGGAAAAGCAGCTGCATTATATATATATATATATATATATATATATATATATATATATATATATATATATATATATATATATATATATATATATATTTTTTTTTTTTTTTTTTTTTTTAACATGGATTGTAGAAATCAGACAAAAAAAATAATAATTAGCAAAGACAAAAAAAAAAAAAACAATACTGACTGTGCGGTAGACGAAGACTCTGAGAAATTTCCCTGAGAGTGTTTCCAGACGCTGGCCATTGTATAGCTGACTCAGCACAATTTTATTCTTCAGGATGTGGTTTTCCAGAATGATCTTCAGGAAGCTCTGGTCCATGGACATCACCTCATCTAGATTGCAGAGAAAAACAAAATGTATTGTTTCTCATCATGACAAGAAAACTATCCCCATTCACAAAGATTACAAAGACCAAAACTCAAAAAAATGGCCTTTGCTACTTGTTTAAACTCATTCATTCATTCATTTTCTTGTCGGTTTAGTCCCTTTATTAATCCGGGGTTTTTACGCAGCGGATGCCCATCCAGCCACAACCCATCTCTGGGAAACATTCACACACACTCATTCACACACACTCATACACTATGGACAATTTAGCCTACTCAATTCACCTGTACCGCATGTCTTTGGACTGTGGGGGAAACCGGAGCACCCGGAGGAAACCCACGCGAACGCAGGAAAAACATGCAAACTCCACACAGAAACGTCAACTGAGCCAAGGCTCGAACCAGCGACCTTCTTGCTGTGAGGTGACAGCACTACCTACAGCACCACAGCGTCACCCACTTGTTTAAACTACTTATTTAAAATGAGTCCAAACAACACAATATTAAGGTTTTTTGGGATAACTTAATTGTTTTATGTTAAATCCACTTAAATTTGTAAAAACGCTTAAATTAACTTAATTGATTTGTGTTGGGACAACATGAAGGAATATGTGTGGAACCAAAGAGTTTAGAATGACCAAGAGGCGACACTCAGTAGAACATTTCATTGCAACAGCAGCGCCCAGCAACAGCCCCGGATTCCACCATCTGAAAGCGATCAGCCGTCCATTGGATCTTATTGCTGTCACGATGGCAAGCAGCTGCTCTGTTTTTTATTTATTTATTTAAAAAGCGCATTAAAGCTGAGATACAACCTGAAAGACGACAATACAACACTTATACAACACTTACTATCACAATCATCAGCACTTTTAATAGTTTATTTTACAGACTTATATTAAGCTGTTGTTCTATAGGAGTTTTCATTCCAAAATGGCAGCCGTGCCATCTAGTGGCTGTTTCCCAAATTGCACTAGAGTGTCGCCTCTTGGCGATTCTGTGCTCTTTGGTGGAACCAAGAATTTTTTACAGCAAATATATATTCAAATCTAAACATAAATAAAGAGTCTATAGCATAAAAATGTTATGTTTCAAACTGCTATATTTAAAGACGTGGTCGTGGAGATGTGTTTAAAGAATTTACATTCCAGACAGGACTTTAAGTTATTGTAGCCTTAGGCACTGTCCCTTTACCACTGGCAGACTAGTAAAAGGAACAATTTTCCCTCTAAATATAATGTGATGAATGTGTTCATGTGTCATTAGACACAAATGAACCACAAACATGCGATGATGAGGTGAAACAGCCTCCTGTGAGGTCTGAAACCTGGAGCTGAAGCTTTTGTCTTAGTCTTTCACCATCTCTTGAGTGCTTTAAGCCCACTGAGGCCTATAGATTAACAGATAGACAGCTACTGTGTCAGCAAACTGTCTGTATGAATTGTCTGTTTTTACACCTGCTAACCCTCAAGCAATAAGAGGTACAGTATGCACAGCATAACTTGCATAGTTATGACAGCACAGGTTAAAAGGTTAGTTAGCCTAAAACTGAAAATTCAAAAAGTATTTACTCACACTTCACTTTTTCAAACCCGTTTGAGATTTTATCATTTGTTGCATATTTCTTTCAATGTTTTAAACAAGTAATCATTGACTTCCGTAGTATTTTTTTCCAACTGTGGCTACCAGTTTCCGGCATTCTTCAAATTAATTGCATCCCAAATGATACACTATAGACTATGCACTTATACACTATGCCCAAATGCACCTAAATAATAGACATTTGCTTGAACAATCCAAAATAAACAAATTAATCCATCCTCAGCCTCCTATCGCTCATCCCTTTCCTCTACATGAGCAAAGCTGTGGCCATTTTTTTAGAATCTTTAATGTGAATGGACCCTAGCAGACACACAAAATCATAAGACTTTAATATTAGGTTAGATTTAGGTCACCAGCATCTTAGGACAATGTTATTTTGACGTCCATTAACAACATGAAATGACATTGATATTTGGTTGATTTTAGGTTTTCTTGGAAAGTGACCAAAATCCAACGTCGAGCCAACTTCTTAAAGCAATGTTATATTGATATCAAATACCAACATTTATTTATCAGGTATGGCAACCAAAATCCAACGTCTGATAGATGTCATAGTGGTAACATCCACACAACGTCAAGCTGTAACATCATTAGACGTTGATGTTTTGTTGTTTTTAGGTTGCGTGGGAAAATAACCAAACTGCTACATCAGTCCGGTGTTGGACATTGACATCGGCCTAATGTTGAGTTCTGACATCAACCCAATTCTCATTTCCAAACAAAATGCAACATCCCATGATGTTGGGGTACAATGTCAATCTGATGTCATGTTGACGTCCCGTGCCTACTGGGACTACTGATACTATTAATATTACAAAATGACATAAAATAGTGCATATGAATGCAATTTGGGATTTATTATTTTGTGTTCAACAGAAAAACGGAATCCAAAAAGGTTTGGAACCACAAGAAAGTGAATTTATTATTCATAAATGATGCATTTCATTTTTTTGCCTAAAAGCCTCTTTTTATTTAAACAACTCTATTACAGTAGCTGTTTATGACCACTGTTTAGTCATATCACACATTAAAACAAATGTTTTTAAAAATCATAGTCTCCGGACTTGGTGCATCCCAGACACTGATGTTTTAGGTTAGAATAATTAGGAGATAACTTTAGAATGATTAGATCAGTCAGAATCAAGCATTTAATAGGCCTGTTGTGTGGCAATAAAAAGAAAGATGTAATCTTGTCTGACCATCTAAGATTGGGTCTTAACACCAAAAATTAACAAAAAATCCTCACCATTAACCAAAGTAGTTCTAAACGCTTCTGTTGATGACAAAACTAAATACTCAGAAGAATGTTGAAAAAAAAGTTGAAAAAAAAAATACTACAAAAGCCAATGGCTATTTTATTCCATCATTCTTCATAATATCTTTCTTTCTATTGAACAGAAGAAAGAAACTCAAACAGGTTTGAAACAAGTGAAGGATGTGTAAATTATGACGAAGTAAACTGAATCTGGTCAAACTTAACATTAGCATAATAATTTTGAATAGTATTAAAAGCACACTGTGAGCATATATTAGTTCAATTTGTTGTTCGCTTTTGACATCTGATAAAACATTTGGACTCTGAGATGTGTGACAACACTTTAGCAAGCTGATAGAGTCAAGGCACGTAAGCAAAAGAAAAACACATTTAAAAAAAAAAACTGGCAATAAGATAGAAGAAACAAGCAGCTGAGTTAAGCCAGGAAGACTGTGAAAATCTGAAAAGAGTTGGAGAGTGACGAGTATTGAGATGTGTTTGCTCACCGTTGAAGGCTGCATTGACTGGGGCCAGAAGCGTGTACTCAGCCTGGGGTCTCATCGCTGCAGACAAGCCCAGCTCTGTCAACATGTCACTGAAGGTGGCCTGAGATTGTCCAACCAACTCCATAACCTGTTTAGCTTAGATGAAAAAAGCAAAGTTGCAATATTTTGAAAGTATTGTAGAAAAGAAGGCAGTAATGGAGAGTTTGAGCTGGTGTGTGCATTTACAGTGTATTTCTAACAATTTAAATTTAAATTTAAACTCTGTTGAGTAGTAAAATTGTCAGTGCAGTTGTGGGCAAAGCACAAAGACAACCAAACAAAGTTTATTCAATGAGAATTAAACAGAAAGCACATTTCACTATTGAAGATTGTTCCCATCCCTTAAAATAAAATTTCAGATCTTGCCTTCAAATAAGATGTTTAATGCAACTTTAAGTAAAAAAAAAAATGTGTATCAAATGTCCTTGTGTACCAAATGTGCGGACTGCTGTTAAATTTGAGTTTTCAATGTAATATATGTAATGACATTGAAAGTTTTTGTGTTGCATGTTATGCGTGTAATGTAAACGCTGATGTGGTTGTGTGGTAAAGCCAAAGATAAATTCCCACTTGTCAAAAATAAAGAAAGTAAAAAAATAATTCTTAGTAAAATAATAAAAATATATATATATATATGCATTCCATTCATTATCTTTAAACTGGAATGATTTACAAATGTATAATTTACAGTAAACTGAATCAATTAATAATGTAAAATAATGCAAAATGCTTAAATATGAAAGGACTATTTCATTCTGTTACTAATTGTAAACCATACAGAGTTGACAATTAAAAAAAGTTGACAAATTTTAAAAGTTGACATTTTCTACCATTTTGTGCTTTAGCTCAAGATGCTAACCTCAAACCTCATACTAAATGACATTTCCAAATCTGAATGTTATGTATTTTCATCATATTATTGTTTTTAAAAGTGCATGAGAAATTCATTGAAATATTACAACAGGGTTGATAAACATGTGAAGTGAAGTGTTACAAACTAACTTTGAGAGGAGCACGTGATATGATTGATTGCGGCTGTTCTCTCATCAGTAATTATTAGTAAGCCAATAAGATCATTCCAAATTCACTATAAATAGCCTGAATAGCATTATTCCCTTATCTTTATTTTTAAAAGAATCCCCCATCCACCCTATCTCCCCCTTTTCCTTCTTTAACGGAAGAGCTCTCGAAAACTCCCTGATCTCGTTTCCCCTTACATGCTCATTGACCAGGCAGGAGCCCTGGGCTAAATGATCTCCCAGCTCAGGGTTCTCTCCCATAATCTGCTATCATTATCAAGCAATATCTAAGTATGACCTTTTGAAGTATATACCAGTGAATATGTAAACAATAAAAAACAACTTTATGATACTAAATGAATTTGGTGTGACTAAAACCCCCTTAAAATGTTAATACAATAGAAAAAGCTAATAGACAACACAATAAATAAAACAAAAAAAAATTTGCTAACCAGAGTCTGGCATGAGGACCTCATCGATGAGATGAATGACTCCATTGGTGGCGACAATATCCTTCTTGAGTACCATCTTGATGCCGTTGACTGTGAGACTGTCTCCGTCACAGCCAATCTCAATATTGCTGCCCTCCAGGGTTTCATGTGATGTGCCGGCCATGATGGCCTCAGAGCACTGAACAGAGTTCAACAGATGGTAGTTGAGGAGAGCTGGAAGAGAAGACACAGCAGTCTCTGTCATCCAACACATCTGTTATTCCTCTTACACGCCTCTTGAGATGAGAGGAAATCATGGAAAAATGATATTTGTTATGTTTCTTTCCCTCTTTTTTTTGATGTTTAGAACATGCCACAGGTACAAAAGCACAAATGGGAATGAGTCTGTTTCAAAATGCATCATAAAAAGTAGCTGAAATGACATTTTGAACAGTGATTTAAAACTCTTTTCTTATTTTTTATTTGAAACATATATTGAATTACTTAGCAAGCTCAACTTGTTTTAAAAGTTTATCCAGGATTCGTTGAAGGTCTTTTTTTTTCTGTTATAGGCCATCGATTGCAGTGAATAAACATTTCAAGTTGGTTTTTGACTGATTAAAAATAGCCATCGAATTTGTAATAGGTTTTCTTGGATGAAAATTATTGTAAATTCAAATATTATGATGGTTAATATTTGTAAATGCTGTGATTTGATGCACAGATTTTATACAATGCATGCAAACATTCACATGTCATTGCATCTCCCATTAGTTCCCAAAAGGAAACCTGGCGGGATCCTTGGGAGCCTTTGGGTCCTTTCTGAGTAAGTCTCTCAGCAGTTTCAAGCCATTTGACAGCAAATGGAGCACTCTGATCTCAAGTCAAAAGTCTGGCTAGGGACTAATAAGAGGGCGGAGATCCCATCACCGCCATTTTTCAATGGATCGTAAAGCTAACAGCTGTTTCCTGTCTATATGTATTGGCAAGACAAGAACAGTGCTCTTTTCAGAAGGTCTCAGATCTTTCTCCTTTGGCCTTACGATCAACATAATGCATTACATTTTTCTATCACTCTGGAAAACAAGAGCATCTGGAGCCAAGTGTGTGAATTTGTTCAAGCTGCCTGTCATTTCACTGCACTGTTCATTGTGCTGATGGTTTCATAGGCAGGCTATGCTTAATCATACCAGGCATTAGCATCTAGGTTAAACTTGGTGTTTCCTTTTTCATTTCCCTGCCTTTCCTCAATTTAAACTGCTTCAGTAGCAGATCAAATGTCTTTCCGCTTGGCCACAAATATGGCTATAATATTAGTTTTATTTTCATTTTCACTCAGGCAGTTAATATAAACCCTAGTGTACTTCAAACAAACCTTATATTCATTAGAGTGGATTATTATGTCATTCCTTTACACGATCGCCAAAATTGAACTGAATGAATTCCAAAGCAAACATCAACCACTGTATTCCAAAAATACCAAAAGGCGTACCCATGAACTTTCTTTCTGCTGCCAAAAACATTCAGATTTGATCTCATCTCCAAGTGACTCAACTGTAGCCCTGTCTCAATCTCAAAGCAGTCCCTAAAGTGTGGTTATGGCACCATTTGCAAACTGTCTGCAAATTCCACAGCTCAAGGCACATCTGGTTTGAAAGGGGGCAAAATAACCCTTGGCCCCTCTCAGTTGACTCATATCAACAAACACGGCACGAGGGAACCACCAATCCCTTGATTTCCTGCACCTTTGTCTCATTAAATAAGAATAAAGATTTCTTTGTGCCAAGTCTGCCATCAATACGGGACTAAACGTGTCTGCTTGGCTACTCTGTTTGAGAACAGCGCAATGGGAAGTCATGTGGCTTTACGGGTTTACCTTGGAGGGACTTCTTGTCTTTCATGAGCCTGTCCAGAACCTCTCTACCCAACTTGTCAAAGGCAGCATTGGTGGGGGCAAATAGGGTGAAGTGTCCTGGCTCACCCAGCTTGTCGATCAATCCAGAATCAGTAGCTACAGTCTGGACAAAAATAGAAACATCTTTTGTTCAACGGTTTTGAAACACAGATCATGCCTAAATAGTTCTAAGCAGGGGTGACCAAACTCAGTCCTGGAGTGCCGGTGTCCTGCTGAGTTTAGCTCCAACTTGCTTCAACACACTTACCAGGAAGTTTCTAGTATATCTAGTAAGAACTTGATAAGCTGGTTCAGGTGTGTTTGATTAGGGTTGTAGCTAAACTCTCCAGGACACCGGCCCTCCAGGATCGAGTTTGGACAACCTTGGTTCTAAGTTTCACTTAAGACTTACGCTCAAAGTGCTCAAATCATCTTCCACTTCGATCATATCCTGAATGGTGCTGCCAACTGCTGTGATGACGCGGTCAATGACATGAACAACTCCGTTGGTGGCCACCTGGTTGCCGTGAATGATCCTGGCACAGTTCACTGTGACTACCTAAATAAGGACCATATGTAGAATCAATCCCTCATGAGCTAGCAAGTAACCATAATTCTCTGTTTCTCAAAATATCAAGTTACCCCATTGGAGTAATGATTGATGTGCAGGCTCAAGTCGTTGTACATAGAGGTAGCGGTCATTCCATTCTTGAGGTCTTTAGTGAGGAGACGCTTGTTGACCATGTGGTAGTGAAGAGCATTGTACAGCTCGATATTCACATTGCTCACCAGAGCATTTCTCACCTCCTGTAAGACAAAGAGCAAGTCAATGCAAAAAATGTCTAGGAATAGCTTGATTCCCATGTGCTTGGTGGAGAGAGATTTTACCGCTTCGAGAAGATCCCAGGCATCGTTACTGGGTGCAAAAAAGGTGTATGATCCTGCACCTTCAATCTCTTGCCGGAGTTTGGAAATATCTGAGTAGTCTTGAGTAGTTTTTGCTTTGACTAGACCCAGGGTTCCAAAAACGTTGTCAATGGGAGCAACTATAAGGAAAGTGACATAAAAATTGCAGCATAATTATGGCTTTCGAAGAGAGTGGTGCAGGTAAAGCATCAAAAGTAGAGTTCTCTTTGGTGGGATTTCCTGTGGATTTTATAATAGATTCTTTTTTAAATTATAAGAAAAATATTATCTGTGGTAAACATAACAATACTGAACAACGAAAGGCATGTTTATTTAAAAATATATACATTTTTAAGTATTCGCTTGTTAAGTGTGACGTCACGCGAAGCGGCTTCCGGTTCTAAGCACTGTACCAAACTGTATGAAGAGACTCAATGAATGGTAATAAGAAACGTTTAAAAAGCGATGTAATACTTTCGAAAATCATGATCGCAATATATACAATTAAAGTCAGAATTATTAGCCCCCCCGTTTATTCTGCCCCCAATGTCTGTTCAACAGAGAGATTTTTTCAACACATTTCTGAACACAATAATTTTAATAACTCATCTCTAATAACTGATTTATTTTTTATTTGCAATTTTGACAGTAAATAATATTTCACTAGATATTTTTCAAGACACTTCTATACAGCTTAAAGTGACATTTAAAGACTTAACTAGGTTAACTAGATAGGTTAGGCTAATTAGGCCAGTCATTGTATAACGATGGTTTGTTCTGTAGACCATTGAAAAAAAAGTTAGCTTAAAGGGGCTAATAATTTTGACCGTAAAATGGCCTTTAAAAATTAAAAGCTTTTATCCTAGCCAAAATAAAACAAATAAGACTTTCTCCAGAAGAAAAAATATTATCAGACATACTGTGAAAATGTCCTTGCTCTGTTAAACATCATTTGGGAAATATTTTAACAAAATAAATAAATTCAAAGGGGGGCTAATAATTCTGTCTCTATATATTCATGCCTAATATCCGATAGCCAGAAAGTGATAAATTTTTTATAAATTGTTAATATATTGGTGTCTGTGATGCAGCAAGTTATATACAATTCACTTTTATCCATGATATGATTAAAAAATCATAAACGAAATAAACGAAAAATTTCTCAATTCAAATGTGTAGCAGCTTGGACCCGGAAACAGAATTTCATACGTCACGACTTAACAAGCAGATTAAGTATGACATGCATGATTCTAAGAAGTCAGTAATTATATAAGAATGTTTGAGGCTTTACAGCTTAACAAAATGCCCAGGTATTATCCGTTATGTTTACCACGAACCATATTTTATTAACTAATTGAAAATTCCTATTAAAAAACCCACAGAGTAACCCACAGTGAATTATCAGTAAAGAAGTAAAGAACCCACAGTGAATTATCAGTAAAGAAGTAAAGAACCCACAGTGAATTATCATATTAGCTAGTAATTATACTTAGCTTATCATGTTAAATAATCATTATTCTCTGGGGCTCAGACACACTCTCTCAGTTCAAAACTAGATTAAAGATCTTTTTACTAAAGCATACAAAAGCGGCCCTTAATGCATTGCATAACGGTATGATGCATGAATGTGCTTCACGCAGGTGAGCTGGCTTGACAACCACCTGTAGGACACACTCCTCCTTAATACACCAGACATTGTGTTACAAACTCTCATATGCTTTACATACTTGTTTCTATGTTTGTTTATATAACTGCTATTTTCATTTGTAACATTTGTCTACGCTCATTTTTTTTTCTTTATGCTCTATTTTCACCTGGTGGTACTCATTCTGAGGTCCCTAAAGAATATACAGAACCATTGATGCGATCCAAGACCTGTGAAGAGATGATCCCAAGGTATCCATAATCCTGGACCAGGCCGTATCTTGAGCTCATGCTGTGGTCGTCATGGAAAAATGAAGTGCATAAGACTGATTCCTGAAAAACCACCATGACAAAAGAGTCCCTGCATTGATCCTGTGGGCCAGTCTGTCCTCCCGCCGGAGCACTACTCACACCTGAAGATTCTCTACGATGGACGTCCAGCTTCTCCAGCCTCCGACACCTAGACTGCAGCTCCACACAGGAAGTTTGGCCAGAAGAAAAAAGTTTGTGCCCAACAGAGCCTGGTCTCTCTCTAGGTTTTTTTTTTCCCTCACTTCATCAATTTGTGAAGTTTTATTCCTTAACACTGTCATCACTGGCTTGCTTGGATCAGGACTTGTGGAGCTGCGCTTGGGTGGATTCGTTCTTCAGTGTTTGGACTTTCAGCAGTGAAATTTAAACCACACTGAACTAAACTAAACTTAACTTCAACTCTGAAATCTGGACTTTACTAGAACTATGATAAGCTGCCTTGACACAATCTACATTGTGAAAAGGGCTATATAAATAAACATGAATTGAATTGAATTGAATTTAATTATTAGGATTTCCAATGTTAGAAAGCAACTATTATAAAACCAACCAACCTGCAGGACAGCCACGCTGGCCTGCCAGCTCCATGTAACCTGGGCAACACTCATACAACACGGTCCTGGATAAAGACATAAAACAAGAAGAACATGTGTTAAATATGTATGAAAAACTCAGACATTTGGCGCCACTTGAAAAAAAATACAATACCAGTAGTGTACAGACTCAAATTCATTTTTTTTATTCCTGGATGCCATTCACTCATCGTTACAAGCTATCCTGATTTTAATGATAACACAGTTCATGGTTCTGGACAGACAGTCTTTCCATATGGCAACCATTAACTGACTTTGTACATAAACATGCTATGTGGTCCCGTGGATTCTGCTGTATTCCACTATTATTATGTTGTCACAGCATTGCATTAATACTTAAAGTGCCCTGAAGCTAAGCACTGAAACCAACTTGGTGGTTTGGTAGGGCTGAGGGGTATTTTTTTGGATCCAGGATGCCTTTAAAGTAAATTTACAACCCTTGGTTTTGGAAGTTACAATGTACAATGGAAGGAAATGTCGAATCAGCAGGTTTCCAGTAATGGAGGTTGCATTCTGGTTTTTCTGTTTTCTTTGAAAGCGGCCCTTAAAACATTCAAACCAAGCTTGTAAATATGTTTTCATGGCCACACAAACTGAATCTCATGAATGAGAAGACATTGTGTTCTTGGTAGGATGAAGAAACAAATCTAAAAATATATTATCCACATTTAAAACTACACATATGTAAAGTAAATGTAATATATAATAATAATAAGCATTACTTATGTAGATATAGAAGCAACATAGAAACAACATGTTTTGCACAGTTGAATTATAATATAAAAGTCCACCATAAACATTCTTTGTAAAACCAAAGAATTTTTGTGCATCATTACTCCTTTTTATTTCTTTTCCACTCATTTTAACCAGTTGCAAGTTCATATGCATCATAACAAGCTCTTAATATGAGTAATGGGTACAATAAAACTCACCTAAGCTAATTATGCCAACTATACAGCAGCCATATTGTAGAGTTAATAAAGAGCTGATAATGGGAAACAGGTTTTTTACTAGCTCCTCAGAGAAAACATCACTGGAGAGTTACGATCCTCTGAGAGCTTCTCAAAGCTGCTTGTTTTAAATCCACTCCAGCGGTGGTGGAGATTCACAGATGGACACTAGTCAGGGTTAATGGGAAGCCCTCGTGGAAATCTCAACGCCATCAAAATGTTTCCATCTGAAGCATATTGCTGGATTCCACAGAAAAATAAAACAGCCTGCAAATCACCAAATGAAAACTGACATCCACTGGTTAAGTCTGTGGATTGGGATAGAGCAATCAGGAGACATGCAAAATTATCCTCTATTTGACTGCCGTAATAAGGATCCAGAAGGCAAAGGCTTTGGAGCGGTCTGAGAGATTAGACTCTCGCCAAAACATAAAGCATCTCTCCCAAAAATGAAAGGAAAACATGACTCCAGTTGACCAGGCATGCAGAGAGAATACAACCACATTAATCATTTGGGGGAAGGTCAGATTTTCCCCAAGTTCCTCCTGGTGAGTTGCTAGTTCAAAGGATTCACAATAATACACACATGTCCAAACCATTAGGAGGGAAATAAACCATCAGATGGTGGAGATATCTACCAAAATATATGAAGGTAAGCTTTGTAGAACATCAAACCGATCACTTCAAAAGAACTTCCCTCATCTGCACTCTGAAAAGCTGTTAGTAATCTCTGCGGGAGATCTAAGACTGTCATACTCAACTCATTTATATAAGCTAAGCACACTAAACCAGATATTTACAAAGATTGCCAGACCGCTATGTAATGGTCTGCTGAGCAGAGAGAAAATGCTCAGTGCAGAACTTTTCCTGGCGTTCTGATTTTCAAAAGTGCAAGATAAGCAGAATATCTCGGGCAAGTCTGGCTTTGCAACTAAGGAAGTCAGAAACCACTGGAGGTTACCTCACATCGGTGCTGTTTGGTCACATGTGAGAGGTCTGGGTAACCTCTTTACATTGCCATTGCTCTTTTTTTCCAGTCACGGAAAAAGAAATTGAAACCGGAGACATAACCAACTCTACATGAATCAAGGGTTGTGGTTGACCATGCTGGCCTCCAGAAACCACCACCTCATTAATGGAGCATTCACAGTAGGACACTAAGATGAGTGCTGCTCATCTTACCCTATGCTGTTGATCTAGATGGTGGAAATTTGCTGTTGTTGTTGTCTTTAAAATTTCACACATCTTTAAGTTTGCTTAGAGCTTCCAGAAAAACAAAAGAGCCTGCTGACATTTCCTTGCAGACAGATGTGTAATCTCGCCCTAGGACAGAAATTTAAGAAAGGGTGTTTCAACACAAGCCAAGCACTCCAGGCGAGCTCTATACTGCTTGCTTTAATCATAGATGGCATGTCCTGACAATGTCAGTGGGTCTCACCATTTTATACCAATTAAGGCTTTGCAATTCTCTGGTTTGTGAGGGTTAGTGCTGTAGAATCCCATGGAATTTGGATTGTTGCAATGAAGTAATTCTTTTTCTATTTACCCCATCTATGTTTTGGCAGGCATAATGAACAGTAAATCTACTGTCACACTCAAATTCTGCATTTTACAAAGCAAGCATTGTAAATTCAACTATTAAGATGCATTTGGCGCTCCCCTTAAGCAGGAAATCATATGTACATGTAACTGCTGGAAACCTTCCCGAACTCTTACCAGTTGGGAGAGTGAACTTTCACCTTTGACCACTGGGAGCAGCTGGAACTTTCCAGTTTCTGTCAAAGAGACAGGATTTGTAATGGCCTGCAGAAATCATAAAACATCACACTTACGCTGTCTTTCCACAAATGGCCCCTTGGTACCAATTACGACAAGTACTGAAATATTTCTTCTTTGTCCCCACGACTTGCTGGAGAGCACACATATTTGGTCTGCAGAGAGGTAAAGGTAAGAAAGGATGAAATGAGTAAATCGAGACAAAAAAGCAACAGAAAATTGGTTTAAACACTAGGATATTATAGTTTGGCTTTAATATAATGGGGTAAAATTAGGATAATGTACTTTAAAACACCCAGTCCACACACACACACACACACACCCATACACACCCAAACACAAACACATTTTTGTAAAAAAACAACAACAAAAAAAACATATAAATTAAGTATACACAAAATAAAAAAGGACATTTTATTTTAAGCTACAATTCTAGCTATTAACAATTCATTAACTATACCTTTTGCCTCAATAAAATCATAATTTGCTACTTATTAATAGTTATTAAGGTTACTAGTTAGGTTTAGGTATTGGAAAGGATAATAAAAAATAGAAAAATACATTACAAAGCACTCAAAACTTTTAACCTGACTGTGAACAAATAAATTACTAATTTCACGCTTAATGATTTATTTAAAAAAACAAAATATTATATTATATTAAAGACAATATTATTTAGTATGACAATAAACTAGAATGAATGACAATATTTCATTACACCAGAAAGATCAGATTAGATATATTTTTACAGTCTTTCAGTTTACCTTAAATAAGACATTTTATAATAACATTTTAATGAGTATTAATAATAATAATAATAATAATAATAATAATAATAATAATAATAATAATAGTAATAATAATAACGACACATGCTAAATAAAAGATTTAGCATCAATAAACTAAACAAATATCCCTTCCCTTTGTTTTATGTTGTTTGTAATTACTAATTTCACTCTTAATTAATTATTAAAAAATTTATATAGGTCATAAATATTATTTATTATGACAATAAACTAGCACGAATGACTATATTTCATTACACCAGAAAGATCAGATAAGATATATTTAACAGTCTTACAGTTTAGCTTAAATAAGACATTTTATAATAGCATTATAATGAATAATAATAATATTAATCATCCTCATAATAATTACATGCAAAAAAAAGATGTATCTATAAAAACAAATATCTCTGATTTTGCGCTTTGTTTTTTGTTGTTTGAAGTTACTAATTTCACTCTTAATTATTATTAAATTTTTTAATTATAGGTCACAATCATAATTCAATTATTTACAATTTATCACAATTATTATATATTTCTTTACACCGGAAAGGTCAGATAAGATATATTTCTACAGTTTATTATAAATAAGACGTTTTATAATAACATTATTATGAATAATAATAATAATAAAAATAGCTACACGTGCAAAATAAGAATAATAAAAAAAATTAACATCAATAAATTAAACAAATATCTCTTACCCTTGTTTCTTTGCACGAATACGGCTGTGTGCAACTATTTTGTCATAAGCTGAAGAATCTGCCTGGTCAAAGGCAGACAGCACAAAGAGTGCAAAAGTAGCTGCAAAGAGGAGCTTCATCCCTGCTTTCTCCTCTGTGAGACTTCAGAGCAAGAAATGGGCTTGAGCTGAGGGGGAGAGGGCTTTTATAGCTCAGCTCTGAAGATACTGGCAGACTGTCAGTGCACCAGCCTCTCCTGTTCACCAGTATGGCTCTATGATCTCACCTCCTAACACTGAATAAGCAAAACACAATTGCAGAGGATTAAAAACCAACCACCAGATGAGGTGTGAGGAGGAAATGTTGTACCAGAAGAATAATGATATACACAGGCAGCGATTTCAGTTTATATTAGGACGGGTTTGGAATGTTCACATTTAATCACTTTTTTAAAATACTACTAATCATTGTTATTCCCCAATTTAATAGGTGCTAACCCTCATTGGTGATATTTTAATATAGCAGAAGAAAATATGCATAAATATGAAACACATGCATGCAGTTACACAACGATTTCATAACCAAGTTTCCATAAATCAGAGAAATGCATCTAATTTACATTTCTCTCATTTAACAGCACATTATTCATTAAAAATTATATTATCACCTTGAGCAAACAGTTAAAATTCAGAATGCCTCTTGTGTTACCATGTAAAAATCATGTAAAACATTTGAGAAATTCTTAAAAATGTGTAACGTAAATGTACGTTTTCTTTGTTACAAATGGTCAAATTATTATTTTGGCTTATTACCAGGTATGCCAAATAATGATTGCGGTCTCAGACTTCTCAACTTTATGCTTTTCAGTAAGTCATATAACTGTATAAGACATTAAAGTATTTTTTAAGAAGTCTGGTAAACTTGAAGCGTTTCAGATTCAGTTAAGCAAGAAGAACATCATTTTACAAATCAATGGCTCCTGGAATAGAGTATAAATCAGTTTTACATAACACCATTGTTTCAATCCAAATATCCACATATTGACAATAATACCCACTCAAGCCCCAATAAAGCCTCTCCTACAGTGGTTTCCTCCAGATTCATGTCTCTGCTTGGCTCACTCTTGTGGCCAGATGTACACATAACTTTGAAAAGATGGCCCTATCTATTACAACCTTTAGAACTTTTTAGATGGGTGGCTCCATCTTGTGGAAGCCTGCACCGTTGCAACAACGACATAAAATGTAAATGTTTTCGCATACTTTACTGTTAGCAGAGTTTGAAGTCGCTGGTCACCAGCCGTCTTTAAAGAGCACTTTTGTCCCGGGACTTCTAGAAAAATCGAACTTTAGTGTCATTCACAGTTATAAAGCATGCAGGTTAAGTGAACATAAACACGTTTTTCCAAACACTCACATCATCTTCCTTTGATAGCAAGCACGCCGACATTTGACGGGATTTATTATAATGAAACATTGCTTATTTAGTCCTCACACCATCAAAGACGTAGAAGACCTTTTCCCCGCGAATATTCATTCGAAATGGTCCTTGACGATGCATAAAATTCAATTAAAAAAACAGCAAGGATAAAATTAAGTGATTAAATTTTAAACTCCGTTTAATTACTTATCAATTGATAGATTTAGTAAGCATAATCTTATTTGATCAAATAGAGAGTTATAATTCTAAATTGGATATAAAATGAATTCGCTCTATGCACGGCGGCGCGTGACACATTTCCGGTAAAATTTAAGACCCCGAGCCTACTTCCGCCGATCGTACAGTACAGTGCTACAACAGGAGCGCTACTGATAAAAACGAGTAATGTTTTGGACAGTTGTCTTAATGTTTTATGCCATTATAGCCCACTTATATATGTTTATGTCAGCTACATAAATATGACATCTAAACGTTTAAAAGTGTCATTTCAAAGACGTGAGAACAGTACTTGTAGATACCACTGCTGTGTTCAGCAACGCACAGCGTCAGAAATTTAACTCTTACCTTAGTTTCCACACGTTTCCAAAAGACAAAGTCGTGCAGAAGAGGTGGGTTGTTGATATTAAACGTGAGAATTTTACAGAAACAGAAAAAACAAGAGTGTAGCTGACAATTTCAGTCTAGAAAACTGATCGAGGCTCGAGTGCCAACCGGATGCAGACATTTAAAGAAAGGAGCTTTTATGGCAAATAATAGTATATTTTCATTGCCTTTGAAGTAAAAAAAAACTGAACATTAATATACATAAACATTTCTTAAGCTACTTTCTAAGTGCAATTTTTTAATTCAGAATAAAGACCTTTATTTTATTCACTGTACATATAAAATATAATTCACTGTATATAATTTGAAATAAAAATTGTCAAAAAAAATGTAACATTTTGAAAAAAATATTTAATTCAGATGAACAGAAACAATGACATTGAATCAGTTGTTTTCTTGAATCAGGTGCTTCTTCTGTAACTTGTGCATAGAGAGGTATTTGGGCTTATACGTATTGAATAAATAAATAAATCACCCCTCTGTTTCATGGAACTTAACACATAATTGATCCATTCCAAACAATTGTTCATGTGACAACACACATTACACATTTCAGAGTAATGGGCTGTCTGGAAAAGCAAAGCAACCAAATGTTTGCATATCCCACTCTCAGCCACACAAGAGCAGGAGCTATAAACTAGCAGGCGATGGCATGGATCTTCTGACGGATGTCCGCTCCAGGATGAAGTAACACATAAAATTTTCTAGCTCTGAATCTCATTATGTTACCTAGAAAACAGAAACAAGAATATTAATAGGTTTTTAAAGAGAGTCATTAAAGGCAGTTCACGCAAAACTGAAAATTCTATTTCCTTCACTTGTTCTAAACCTGTTTGAGTTTGTTTCTGATGTTTAACACAAACAAAAATAATTTGAAGAAAGCTGGAAACTTGCAACCATTGATATTCATAGTAGTTCTTTTTCCTACTATGGAAGTCAATGGTTACAGGTTTTCAGCTTTCTTCAAAATTTCTTCTTTTGAAAGGCATCTGCAGCAATATCATCAGGTTAAACTACACAGTAAATCATTAATTTAAATTATTTAAAAGTAGCTCCCTTTAGTCACACTTTAAAATAAGGATTCATTAGTTAATGTATTTGCTCACTATTAAAAGAACTATTTAATATTTAATAGTTAGCATTGTTAAACTAATTTACTAATGAATAAAAATCCAAAGTCATGCTTGTTAACATTAGCCATTACATTGTGAGTTAACAAGCACAATGAATAAGCATTTGTTCATTAACATAAAAAACTAATAAATATTGCAATAGACAAATCGTTGATGTGAAATTAACTAATGACACTATATTGTTTTGGGTCACCCTCCCATTTAATTACAATGTTATCGACTAAATAGAAAGCATGCTATCTACACTGTTACACTGCATCTGTCATCTACACTGTTTCAGCAATAACTCTCAGCATTGACACAGTGCTATTTGTCTGTTGTGGATGGAACGGCATTGTATTATTTTATTCCTAATATATCTTGCTCAATAATCATGCTTACAAGCTAAGAAAGCATCTGTGTTTCTGTAATTATCCGAACTGAACAGTGGTGGTCACTTTAGAACAGTAAAAGTATGAATGGGACAGAACTTCACATGTTTGCTGTCCTACTCTCAGCTGGTGAGGAGACTCCGATTTCTTCATAGATCTATCGGTAGTAATGAGCTCTCACTAAGATCTTATTCCTGCCCTGTTTTTACCTGACACTTTGAGACAGAATTACGTACACATATGATTATTTTTACTTACGTGATAAAGCTGCAGATGGACGGATCGTAAGAGTATTAACGCTAAAGTTAGCCTTCAGGCTAGCTGAACTTACCTTCATAATTGCACAGGTAGGAAGATGCATACAACTTGAAACCTTTCTCAAGCTTTGCTCTGCGGTGTTGTAGAACACATCCGGACAATCATTTGCACATCGTTGACCATAATTTACTCGCAAACAGCGAGTAAATATTGACGACTCTGCCATAATACTGTTTACCTCCGCTTAAAATCACCCAGACCGGAAGCTGGACCGCGGCCTTAGTCAAAACGCGGAAGTAATGCGTGCATATAGCCCATTGACTGGTCTGAAAAACTGAACATCATATGCAGATTATTTTTTAGCCTACTTATTCCAAAAGATAGGCTATTATGTACATCTGTCGATACACAGGACTGTACACAACTGGTTTTATTAATTAATTAATTATTATTATTATTATTATTATTATTATTATTATTATTATTATTATTATTATTATTATTATATTTATTTGACTGTGATGGACCTGTTACTTATTTTTTGTAAAGACTTGACACAATCTCTACCTCTAGCAATGGTAATGCTTTAAATGGCACCTATGGTGAAAAATCTACTTTTCAAGCTGTTTGGACAGACATGTGTGCAAGTATAGTGTATAGACTGTCATATTGGGGTGATATAAACACACACAGTCCTTTTTTTTTTTTTTCAATTTAACAACAAAAAAACGGTGGACCAATTGGAGCGGTTTTCAGACCGACCGCAACTTTACGTAGGAGTGCGGTCCCCCGCCCACCAATAATGATTGACAGCCTCGCGTCACAATCATATCCTCAGTTACTTGTTGCACATCCGCCATTTTTAGCGTGTGAGTCAAAGCGATATGATTAAAGGAACACCCTTGCTCTATTTTTTGATGAAAGCCTCATTGGGCTCAACACAAGATCAATATTCTCCACATTATTGCTCTAATCGGATTTATTGCTTGTACCTTTTGCGTGGCGACGTGCATTTCTGAGTTCTGGGCATGGGTTTATGTCGGGGTGCACGCGGCGGAGCTTCTGGTTAGTGGCTCGGCGCTGCGCGGGTTTCTGGCGCAATGCACGTAGCGAAGCTTCGGGTAAGTGGCTTGGCGCGGTGTGGGTTTCTGTCGTGGTGCATGCGGCAGAGATTCGGGTCAGCGGCTCGGCGCGGCGCCATTGTGTTTGCCCTGGTGGAGGCTTTTGTTAGGAGTTCTGAAATGCGTGACACTTTATGTTTTAAAGACACAAATGATTTTGTACTCTCTGCTTGGTCTGTGTCCGACTCGACTCGTACTCGGAGGTCTTTAGCCTCCTTGTTAGAGCAACCGACTCCCAAGCGGAAGGTTGCCGGTTCGATCCCAGCTCTGAGCGGGTTGGGCAGTGTAGGACCGGCAGGGTTACATTGGTGCCGTGACCCGGATGGGAGTGAGGTTTAGGGGGTGATTGTAACGGAGGTCAGCTAGTGTGTGCTGTACAGGTAAACCTCACTCCTCTGACCTCTAAGGGTGCTCTAGCGACAGACGCTAGAGGCCATGGTCTTTATCCTCCTTGTTAGAGCAACCGACTCCAATGCGGAGGGCCGCCATTACAGGTCGGCGGGGTTACATTAGCTTCTCTCTCTGTCTGTCAGCCTGTCTGTTGGACAGAGCGTAGGAGCACTTGTCTCCACCCCTTGTTACGTTGGGCGGGAAGCCGAAACTGTGAAGCAACACGCCCGTAAAACAGCAAACTGTGTAAACGCCCCCAACATGACACTTTTTAACAAGTTATAATAAAAACATCTGAACTGTGTGTTGAACTGAACCTAAACTGGCACACTCAGAAGAACCATAATATTAATATTAAATCATAAAAAAGGGGTAAACTATGTGCCCTTTAAATTTGATAACACTATGTGAATCTTACATTATTGTTTGTTTGTTCTATAATATACAGTTGGCTGTATTTTCTGTGATCTTTTTTTGAAATAATATTGTAATTTATATTTTCCCTGGCATTATTTTTGTTACTCTCTCTCTCTCTCTCTCTCTCTCTCAGGATGCTAGGGATTGTTGGCAACACAGGCTCATTGTGAAAACACACTCCAGTCTAAAATTCTGGAGAGAGCAAATGTAGCCAGTGCTATGTATGGCTGCATTTCATCTTTAAAACAAATGCTACGGGGCGGTATGATGGCTTTTCTTTTTATGCTTACTAACTGACCGCTTACCTCCGTAGTCCATGGATGTCTTTTCTGCTGATACCATTTTGTCCAGGGCTTGCCATATACGTGGGTGGACTTGAGACACAGAGAGGAGTTGACCGTGATGACGGGGTTCGAGTCTGGTAAAGGATGGTTCCAGGTTGATTGGTGCTTTTGAAAACACTATTGGTTGGATTTAGAAACAGGACGAGGGTGGGTCAATGAATCGGTCAGTCAATCGACAATGGCCTTTGGTGGACTTACGTGAGACTTTATGCACAAATGGCACTCGCGAGAGAAATTTGAGATCTCAAAA